GCCGGCATGACGCGCCGCGACGCCGGGCAGGCCGCGCGCCGGCCTCACCTCGCGCGGCGACGGCGCGGACTCCAGCACCGAGGCGATGTACCGGTCCACGTCCTCCTTGCTGCGCCGCATCGCGCCGCCAGGACCGCACACCCGGGCCGGGGCCCGCACCTTTCGCGACTCCTGGAGCTGCCGCCCAACGCCGGTGACGCAGCGCCGCTGCCGGGGGCGAACGTCGTGCGGCCTGCGTGTGCGTCGCACGAGCTACGTCAGCACTGTGCGCCGCCCCGCCCGAGCTGGCCGCGCGCTCCGCGGGCGGGAGACCCTGGCGGCTTGTGGGCTTGTCGCGCGGCGCTCGGAGGGCGGCGCTCAGCCGCGGGCGACGTCTTGGCGGGGCCGTCGGCGCCACCGCGCGGAAGGCCCCTCCGCCTGCGTGCACCAGCGGAGGAGCCGCGGCGTGGTCGGGAAGTGGGATGACCGAGTGCTGCCGCTCGCGAGCGCGTGCGTGCGTGCGTCTCCGTGGCGGAGCGGGGTCGGGATCCAGCAGCCGCGGTTTGCGGAGGGCCGGGGGCGGCTCGGTAGAGTGGGCGCCTCCCTGGCGAGCGCAGGGGCCTGGGTTCAGTCCCCGCTTCCACTAATGCAAAAAAGTTTACTTTGGGAATTTAAAGAGTCGGCTTTAAACAACGTTTATAAAATGTTTTCAGTGATAGGGACATTTCAGACTTTTAAAAAAAGCGTTTGTGCGTGGAGCAGTGTTGTGTGGGTTTCCCAGGGAAAGGAGCCGGAGCGCGGACACCGCCGAACTGCCCCGGCGCGGCCGTGAGCCCGGCAGGCCCTGTGGCGGCGGCGCAGACTGCGGGCTCGTGGAGGGCTCGCACGCGGGTGGTGGGGACAGGCGCGCCGCGCTGCCGTCGTCCGGCACAGCCCCGCGCCTGCGCGCTCCGGCGGCTGTGGCCGTGTAGTGGCTGCGCCGCCGCCTGAGCCCGGCAGCGCCCGCTGCACCGCGGAGCGGAGCTCCCGCCGACTGGCGTCCCCGCGGTTGGCCCTCGGCCGGTCGGCCCCTCTCTCGCAGCACTCCTTGAGCCCTGGGCGGGGGCGGCCTCGCAGAGGGAGGGCGGCCGCGCCGGGTTCTCTGCCCTGCTCCGCGTGCCCTCGCCGAGACCAACGCAGTGAAGAGACCGTGTTCCCAGTTAAGTGACCTGATCGGGCTTCACTACGCGTTCTCACTTCTGCTGCTTAAAGGAGAGTCCCGTCTGAGGTCCCCATAAAGTTTTCCAGTTTTGAGGGTACAAAGGCAAAGCATTCTAAAATAGTCGCATTTGACTGGAGCGGGGAAGTTCACTACACACCAGCAGTTGGACTTGTTGGTTGCCGCTGTGGTCACTGCCCAGTGACAGGAGAGCTCCCATGGCCGTGGCTGGCACGGCAGTACTGTGTGGGCGCAGACGTAAGTGACCCCATGGCGGCTTCACTGAGGTCTTAACCATGAGAGTAACTGTGGTGGCGTTCCGAGCCCCTGGAGTCTGTGGCTTCCTGGCCGCAGGTCTTTGTCCTGGCTTGCAGTACAAGTGTGGGTTCTCTTCCTTGGAGCAGGCAAAAATTCCAGTGGAAAAGTGGCTGGTTGCTCTTAGACCAGATGTGCCACCCCAGACAGGGACTGGCCCATTGGGTGTGCTGGGTTACTGATGGATGCTACCTGCAGTAGGACTTGACTTGGGGCTCCCCCGTCTCCGTGATTGGAGCCAGCGACTGTCTGCTCAGGTTGTTCCTGCCCTGGCCCTCAGCTGTAGCTCTTGAGACCTAATAACCACCCAACAGAAGGGCAGGGGAAGGAATGTCAGAGTGCATGACCTTCCCCTCCCCTGCTAGTGTTTTTTTTCCCGTTAGTATTTTAACCTGACAAGCTGAGGCAGACGATCACTTTGAGTTTGAGGCCAGCCAGGGCTACATAGCAAGACCTCCTTTCAATAAAAAAGGGCTCTCCACGTGGCTCCTGTTTTGAGAGGACAGAGGGCAGGCAGCTTGAGCACAGCAGGGGTGTGAAAAGGCACCACTGCCCCCAAGCGTCCTCAGAGCCGCTGAAGCTGCTGTTTTTCCCTTGGAACAGCACATCTTACCCAGGCGGAGGACTCCCAAGCCTTTACCACTGTGCCAGGCCCTTGCACCTTTAGGGATTGAATTTCTCAACTCCTTCGGGTGTCCTTGAAAATTCCCCAGATGTTTTCTAAATCTGAAAGACACCCAGAGGTTAGGATGATTTTTGTTTTTAATTTAAGGATGATTCTATCTACAGTATATAGCAAGACAGTTTGATAGGGGGCAGGCAGGATAACGACTTGAGGTCCCAGGCCACTGTCCCATGGCAAACAGTGGGGCCATGTGTGCATCCCTGGTAGAACACTTGAAAGGGCCACCGCTGTCCAGTCTGGGTGACTAACTGGTCCTGGGACTTGGCATCTAAGAAATACTGAAAGCATCCGCAGGATCCAAACTGCGTGATAGGGTCTGTAGCCCATGTCAGTTGCATTAAGGACCATTGCATATAATTTTTGGGAAAAAAAAATGTCATACTGTGATGAGGGCTTGTCAAGGCCTGGTGCGTGCCTTGCCATGCCAGCCAGCTATCAAGTTTAGGAGCAAAACTCCATGCACCTCCACTTGCAGTTGAAGCCTCATTGGTCCCGTGATGTTGTGACACCCCAGACAAGACTGCATCAGCTGAAGACATCCTGCTTCCTTGAGAACCCAGTGGTAAAAATAGGGTTTCACCTTGAGGAAAGGACAAAACCCTTAAACTGCCATCTCTCCCCACCATCCTTCCTGCCCACTGAGTCATCCAGTGGTGCATACCCAATAAATAGTGGCTGACTCAAGCATCTTTGCTGCTGCCTGTCCTGAGGCACTGACCTCCCGGCCCCTTCGTGCATTACTAAATTTGTCTCTTTCTTATTGCATCCTTTCATACAGGCAGTTGGGGTTCTTGGCCAGGTCCCAACGCATGGTCCCAACGCAGTCACCAGAGCCTGGATCAGGGCAGCACTTTATCCAGCTCTTTATTCAGTCTTTTTGCATGAGCCTGCCAAGGGCCATAGTCCATGCATCTGTGTTGTTTGGTGTTCACCACGCTGCCGGCAGACAGGCTCTGCTGCCCTCCACAGCCTTACTGTCCACACTCAGTGCCACTCCCTGATGGTGCATGGTGCACCCCAACAAGATACCCTACCATGAGCTCAGCGCTTGATCTCTATCTGTGAATATCTCAAGATCAGGGTTTTCCGATGACAGATCCCAGTTGGGTTTATTCAGGACAAATTCAGGATTTCGCTAGAATTCTTGTGGCTGTTATCAGCAGGAGTTTAGGCACAAGACCACTTCTTTTCAACCTCTTGGCCCTAGTTACCTTTTGGTAGGGCTGACACAAGTGATACTGTCATGATATTTACAACTGCGATGCTTGATTTATACTCCCCTCTTGCCCTTGTGTTATGGTTTGTGTCTAGTTGTCCCCCAAAGCCTCATGCAGTCATGGGGCGGCTTCTGGAGTCTGTGATCGATTCTTTTTTTTTTTTTTTTTTTTTTTTTTTTTTTTTTTATGTATGTGGTACAGGGTCTCACTACACAGTTCAGACTCGTAGTGATCCTCCTGTTTTCAACCTCCAAAGTGCTGGGATTTCAGGTGCACACCACCACACCCAGTCTCAATTACCATCTTGTTGTGCCCTGGGGGCCGGGCCAGCACAGCACACAGATCCCCTGCACTGTGCTCTGCCTAAGCTTTAGTCTGCTGAGCTATCTGGCCTGCCTATGTGATTGATTCTTGATTCAATACTGGGATTGCAGGTATGAGTACTACACCAAGGCCCTGGGGTGGATAATTTGCGTTACAGTGTAAGGAGGACAGAGAGGCTAGCTGCCTGAGCTGCAGCCACTGGCTTTGCTCTCTGCTCTTTGTTGGGGGCCTGCCCCTTAGCTCAGTTCTTTAAGTGGCTGCTTCAACAAAGAGTCAGGCTCAGGTTGCTGTGGTTCGATCCCCACAACACAAGATAGCCAGTCGTGCCTTGAAGGCATTCGGAGCAAAAAAAAAAAAAAAAAAAAAAAAACCCTTCTCTGCTCTTTGCTACTGCCACAAACTGCTGCTCTGTGCCATGTGCCACACTCTGCCTTGGAGCCAGCTGAGTATGGACTGAAACCTCCACTGTGAGCTAAATAAACCTTTCCTTCCTTCATTCTGGGTGTTGTGTATTTTGTCCCAGCAACAAGAGAGGAGTAACTAAAACAGAATTTGGTACCAAGAGTGGGGTCACTACTGTGACTACCTGACCATGTAGAGTACAAGATTTTGGGACTAGTTTATAGAAAGAGATAGGAAATGTTCAGATATGTCACCTACAAGAGAAGCACTAGAACAGCTTTGGCTGTTCTGTGTGGAAGGTTCTCATCAGAGCTCAGAAGACCAGAAGGCTGATAGAAATCCTGCCTGGGAAGACCAGGCTGGGGAGGCTTCTGCTGGGAAGGACTGCAATGATTGTCAGACTCCAGATGATGCGTGTTTTGGATTGGAAGACAGTTTGTCTGCATCTTGCTCATGTCCAGAGACTTTGCCTGAGACTGAAATTAAGCATGACTGACTGCTTAATCTTGCAAATGAAATTGCAAGAGAGTCAAATGTTGAGGCAATGGCAAGGCTATTGTTGGGGGCTTTTAGTCAGATACATGTTGAGAATCAAGAGCAAAGAGCCCAGCAAGATGATTTAAAATGTCGTTTGTCCAGAAAAAAAGCACCAAATAAAGCTGTGGCCTGCAAAGATAGAGCTGAGAGGATCTCCATTGCTGAGAACGAACAAGAGAACATAAAAGATAGTCTGAGGGCCTCCCAGGCGGTGGCAGGTCTCCACCCTTTGCAGCCTCAGAACTGCAAGGGGAGGGAATTTGCCATGGAGCGCAAGCTGCAGAGAGCGTGTTCCAGAATGGCAGCAGGGGCTCCGCCAGGTTCTACAATGGCACCTGCAAAAAGAGTGTTCCTCAGAATCAGAGTCAGTGCTCAGTGACCCAGGCATTCGACCCCTACACAAGAGAAAAGAAAGCTTGGCTACTGTCAGCAGCCCTTGACATCATCCATGTTGGTTTTAGGCACTTGCAGCATGCAGGAGTTCTGAGGTTAAAACAGCTTCCACCTCGATTTCAGAAGAAGGTGTAGAAGGCCAGGCGGTGTGCCCCCAGGAGGAAAGTGTGTAA